TGAAGGAGGGAGGATGGAGATGAAGGAGGGAGGATGGAGATGAAGGAAGGAGGATGGAGAACGCCACATTATTCATTAATAATTGAAGAAACCTCCCTATTTTCTCCTTTAAGTTTATGACTAATGTTTGATAATTACTTTCCCTCCTTTTACTCCATAGTAACACGAAAGTCTTGGTCTTCACTCCTGCATTTTTAAGGAAATGTCTGAGGACTAGAGAGAGGGCTTAGCAGTTGAGGGCATGCACTGCGCTTCCAGAGGACCTGGCTTCTGTTTTCTGCACCCTGTACTCAAGTGCACAAACCAGAAAGAACTGAAGCGAAGTGTGGTGCTTGCTCACCTGTATTCCCAGAACTGGGGAGTCAGAAACAGGTGGATCTCTCAGTTCAAGGCTGTCCTGGAGTACATAGTGAGTTCCAGGCCAGCTAGGGCTACACAGTATCAAAAAACAATTTTAAAAAAGTGTCTCGAAATCCCAGGCCAGTGTCAGTTCACATAAGCTGGTCATACTGATGATTATTTTTTATGTTTTATTGTATGAGTATATTAAATAAATTTATCACGGTTGCTGCAAAGAAGATAGAGAAAAAATAAGGTGATTTTTTTTGTTTGTTTTTATCTCTGTAGCTTAAAAAAATATTTGTCTAATAGTGACTTTTTTGTTGTTGTTACTTAAAAGTTAATGACAAGCTTGTAGGAAGATACTTAATGCAGAGATTCCTTAAATGTATACATTTCATGTATACATTTGTGCATGTGCATGACCTAATATTAGACCAATATATGTACTGAAATTTATTCTCTTTCAGGACAAATCAAAAGTAAATTCTTGCAATAAGTACAATGACAACTTTTTTGGACTATACTGCATTTGTAAGAGGCCTTATCCTGATCCTGAAGATGAGGTAAGAGAATCAGAAGTTTAAAATAAACTCAAACTGAACTGGGGTTTTGTTATTGCTGTTTGTTTTAGTTTTTGTTTGTTCATTTTTGTATATCATATAATTAAAATATTTGAGAGGACTTTCTTCCACTCTCAGATATTTTCTAAGAAATCACAGCTTCTTTCCTCTGTGAAAGAAAATAAATATGGAAACAGGCTTCTTTGAAAATTTCAATAAGCCGAATCTCAGAGTCCTTCTGTACGCTCCCTGCTTCAGCTAGCTTTCTTTTGATCAGCTTCTGTAGTAAACAGTGGACAAGCCCAGCTGGATGTGGTAGCTCATGCCTTTAGTCTTAGCGCTCAGGAAATAGAGGCTGGTATTCTTCACAAGTTCAAAGTCAGCCTGACTCACATAATGAATTCCAAGCCAGTCTGGGCTACATAGGGAGATGCTGTCTCAACAGGATAAGATGAGAAAACAAGTGCAAGCCTGCCTTTTAGCTTCTGTAAGTCAGTCAGCTGGTCTGTAGCAGAACGGCACTGTCTAGATGGTCACTATACAGGCTTCAGTGCACATCCACCGGTGTCTAACTCCATATAACACTCACTCTAGGTATAATATAAAAGCATAGTTGTCGGTGGGTCTAAGAATTTTCTATCTATGTTTAAAATTGTGATTGTGATTACCAAAATAATTCAGCCAGTGGTAGGTTTTTTGTTTGTTTGTTTGTTTGTTTTGTTTTTTGAGACAGGATTTCTCAATGGAGCCCTGGCTATCCTGGAACTCACTCTGTAGACCAGGCTGGCCTCAAACTCAGAAATCCACCTGCCTCTGCCTCCCAAGTGCTGGGATTAAAGGCATGCACCACCACTGCCCGGCGGTAGTTATTGTGATAGTTTGTTCGTTTGTTTCTTTCTTTCTTTTAATGGTGAAAAAATGTGTAATTAGCCAACTGTAATTGGTTGGTTTAGATTGCCAATCAGTTGCCAACTTTGTTGGCAACATCCAGAGTATCATAATCAGGAGTCAACCAAACATAGCCCTCTTCCTGCCTTCTCTCCATTAGGCCTTATCAAGATACTGACTTTGGCCACATCAGTGTCATAGTCTATTTGATCTGGTGCCTGTTGGCCTTGACACCCACAATGAACACAAGTATGTTGTTGTCTTTCATCTTCTTGTGGCTGACTCAGTGGTCAGGGCGGATTTGATGATGGCGTAGAGGCCAAGCTTGTTTCTTCTGTCTTTTGATGGTATTTGGATCTTGTGCTGTAGGAAGGTGGGTGGCATGCAGACCGGCTTTCAAGCTTTCAAGGCCTTCACTTTGGCTTTGCCTTTGGGGTGGTGGGGCAGGCACTTCTTTGATTTCAGTGCCATCTTGGCAAAAAAGTGAGACAGTCTTAGTATGTAGCCCTGTCTTGCCTTAAACTCAGCTTCGAGTACAGGAATCCCTAAGCCATTTTTCTTAACACTCTTAGCCCCTTGTATTATCAGTCCTTTAAAATCTTTCCATGCAGATGAACGATGAATTGTTTTATCTTATTTTATGTATGTGAGTGTTTTGTCCATGTGTATGTAGGTGTACTAAGTGGGTACCTGGTGCACATGGAGGGCATCGGGGCTTTGGGTCCCCTGGGACTAGAGTTGTCACCTGCTCTGCGGGTGCCTTTAGTCAAGGTTCTCTGCTAGAGTAGCAAGTGTTCTTAACCGTGAAGTCATCTCCCTCGCTCGCCAGGAAGGAGATTACACACTTTTCATCTCTGCGCTGCCTTTCCATGTCCTTAGGCAAGGTTTTGTTTGTATATTTACTGATCTGGGAGAGTACTCTGTGCACATAGAGGAGTTAACTTCCACCTCTCTGGCTTTTTAATCATCTGGGACCATAATTATTGAAACAATTTGTATATAAGGGGAAATTGAGGTGTCTTTCATAAATATCTCTTAGAACTGGATATTTCTAGAATGAGGTAAAATATTTCTTATAGTACTTTTGAAACAGAAGACTCCCTTCCTCTCAAAAAAGTAATAAATTAAGAGACAGAAAACAAAACTGTCTGTCTGTCTATCTCGTAAGAAAACACCACAGTAAAGGGATGGGAAAATAATAAAATGTTAAATAGTTGGTATGAAATCCTAAAGTAAATAGAAAATCATCTCCCCATACTCTACTTCTGGTGAGTAATTTTCCTAGTGTTGGCTATCAAGGAGCTTTGATAATCACTTGCAGACGACTTCCTGTAGAATGGACTTGTCCTCTTGACTATCCTTACGTGGATAGCTCTCTCAGAGCTGCTAGAGAACTACCTCATTGTTAATTCTACTGTGGCCAGATTTACTTCTCTACCCTAGAATTCAAACCAGTCATTAACGAAGGTTTTTTTTTTTGTCTGTCAGGTTCCAGATGAGATGATACAGTGTGTGGTCTGTGAAGACTGGTTCCACGGCAGGGTAAGCAAGACTTCGACCCTTTAAGATCTGTCCCATGGAGTGTAATGGTACACGCCTACCATTCTAGCACTTAGGGGGCGAGGGAGAAAGATCAGAAGTTGAAAGCCACCCTCGGTTACTTTGAGGCCATGTCTCAAATAAATGGGGCTGGGAAATTACTCACTGGGTCAAAGAGCACATCTTTAATCCCAGTACTTGGGAGTCAGACTGGCTGACAACTGTAAGGTCAAGGCCAGTCTGGTTTACATAGCAATTTCCAAGTCTGCCAGCACCTACATAGTAAGACCCTGTCTCAAAACAATACTTTTGTTTTATTTTACATTCCTTTTGATGAGGATGTGATCTGTGTATTTTTGCACTGTTTATAAAACAACACATTCTAGAGGTCTCGGCGATCACAGGAAACATCTGGGTTTCTATATCCACAGCATCTTGGTGCCATTCCCCCTGAGACTGGGGATTTCCAGGAGATGGTGTGCCAGGCTTGTATGAGGCGTTGTTCTTTCTTGTGGGCTTACGCTGCCCAGTTGGCAGGTAAGTGTTTCTGTGAGATTGTTGTGACACAAATTTGTGCTCATGAAATGTTGTGTGTTCAATCCAGAATTTTTAGTAGCTATTTTTAACTGGACTTTAGAGAGATCTAAAAACATCCAGCTATGTCCCTCTTCCACCCAGTGCCTTTAGACTGGTTGAGAGCCTGCCAGGAACAAATGTGGACTTGACTACTGTGCTGCAGAGTATTCACGTGACCAGCGTTAGAGAAAGTGCATGAGGTAGTGTGTGGATAAATAGAACTGAAACACGCAGTTACATAGATAAGACATGCTTTGAAGGCGTTGGCGTCATAATTCTTAGGGTTCTGACACAATGCCTTTTACTTGTCAATAATGGATAAATATTTCTCACAGTTCCTAAAGCTGACAGTAAGGTCAAGGTGACTGATATGAAGGCCATTCTTCATACATGAGACTTTCTGTGTGTCCCCAAGCCATGGAGAGAACATACAGTCTCCTCTAGGAATGTTAATTGCAGTTATGATAGAAGACCCTATGACCTAATCACCTTCTAAAAGCCATACCTTTTAATACTACTGTACTGGGGGTTGACTTTTAACATACAGATTTTGTGATGTGTATGTATCCCATACATAGCAGATGGGGAAAGCGCATGTTATGAGGTAACACACCAAGAAACAGAGTAAACACAAGCTGTCATGGTGGGTAGCTCTTGGCTCACTCCACTTACATTGGGCATATTTTCTGCTGTGCCATCTTGATTTCCTGTGCTCACCTTTAGGGACTTTGAGCATACAAGCTACAAGCAGTATAGCTGTGTCTAAGATCTCCTCTTACACTAGCAACCTCAGGGTTGCCACAGTCACAGCTCTTTCTGTTCATTCTCTTCCTAGATACCACTCACTTTTACAGACACTTGAGCTGTATGTATTTCCCACAGGATTTTCCTTTTTGCTTTTGGCTGATTGGTTGTTTTGTTGTGTCTGTAGTCTTAAGGATCAAACCCAGACCCTCATGTGTGCTAGGCAGGAGCTTTCCACTGAGCCTCCTCCAGCACTGGCTGGCTGAGTTTTCAAGGCAGGGTTTCTCTGTCATAGAGGCTGGCCTCAAACTCCTAAGTCCTCATGCCTCAGTCTGGGTTTTCTTTGTCTTTCCCTTCCTGTCAGATGCTTTGCCCTAGATTGCAGCACCATTGCCCACCATTAGTTCCTTTGCCGTTTGTCTCCAGACCCATCCTGATTCCCTCCTTTCAACTAAAAACTGGTGTTTTCCTGAATTATCTTTTTCCTGTGTTTAGTTAATCCCTTCCCACTGTCTTGTTTCTTTAGTTAGCTCTTCTTTTAACAGCTGCAGTGTACTATGTATGTACAAAGTGCTTATGTAATGATGCATATTTTTTAATGAACCATTTATTTGGTTAGGCGGGCATACTGGTAAGAGTGCTAATTCACTTGTTGTTGCAGAGACTCAGGTTGCCTTGTTTCCTAGTCTGAGATATTTTAATTGTGTGATTTCTTGATCTGAGAGGCCTATGGACAACTTTGTTGTGTGTGTCTGATTGAACCCACAGTCACCAGGCTGTCTGCTGAAGATGATGGGCTGCTGCTGAATGTTGCTGGGATGGGAGAGCAAGATGTCATCAAGGCTGAAAATGGAGCTCCCCAAGAGAACACCCTGAAAGAGGATGCTCCAGAACATGGAAGGGATGCTGGCAAGGAGGTGAAAGCTGAGCAGAATAACGAGCCCTGTACCAGCTCCAGTTCTGAGTCTGACCTCCAGGTAGTATATGAAATTCAAGCCATATCCCAAGTGAAACTGAGGCTAGATGATAGCATAACCAGCCGAGTGCTGAGAGTTGGAGTTTGGTTCCCAGACCCACAAAACAATGCATGGCCTAGGGAGGTGCCTCAGTTGATGTACAACATGAGGACTTTAGTTCTCCAGTACATGTGAAGAAACCAAAATGGCCAGGTTGGGCATGATGGCACTTTGATCCCAGGACTTAGAGGCAAAGGCAGGCAGATCTCTGTGAGTTGGAAGCTGGCCTGATCAACATAGCAAGTCCCAGTTTCACCTGAGCTGCATGGTGATGCCCTGTCTGAGACAACAACAGAGCCTTGTGCAGTGTGCACCTGAATCCCAGTACTGAGGCTCTAGAGATGAGAGGATCCCTGGAGTTTGCTGACAGACAATCTAGCGAGTCAGCGAGCTTTAGGTTCAGTGAGAGGCCCTGTCTCAACAAGGAAAGTGGAAAAATTGATTGAAGAAGACTCTTGAGTGTCAGTGTCCTTCTGACACACGCACACACGCACACACACACACACACAGAGAGAGAGAGAGAGAGAGAGAGAGAGAGAGAGAGAGAGAGAGAGAGAGAGAGAGTGCGTTCGTGCGTGCATGCGTGCATGCGTGAGTGAGTGAGCTGGGCATGTGGTTAAAAGCAGTGGCTGCTTTCCAGAGGACCTGGAACCCACATGTTTCCAGCCTCCATGGGCACCAGGCCTGCACACACATGTTGCACAAACATACATGCAGGCAGTGCACCCACACACATAATAAAATTATTTTTTTTAAACCTAAAAATACAAATACAAAGCCTCACTTTAAAAGTTAATTTTATTTCAGACAGTGTTTAAGAATGAAAATATCAAAACTGAGCCGCAGTCCAGCTGCAGACTTCAGGAACTCCAGGCCAAGCAGTTTGTAAAGAACGATGCTGCCACCTATTGGCCCTTGAACTGGCGCAGCAGACTGTGCACCTGTCAAGACTGTATGGTAGGTGTCTGACTCCACTTGATGTCCACAGATTAGACTCTGCAAGACTTAGTCATGACTGATACAGGAGTTCAGGAGACACTGATTCCCTATGAAGTCACACTTGTAGACTGAGTTCTTGTAGGGGAACTAGGAATTATGTGATACTTCTATCAAGTTTTAATAGAAAACAGTTCTGGGGCTGGAGAGAGGGCTCAACTGGTAAGAGTACTTACCACTCTTGAAGAGGACACAGTTCAGTCCCTAGCATTCTCATGGTGGCTCACAAGTAAGTGTCTGCATTCCGGGCCCAGAGGGTCTGCTAGCTCCTTCTGGCCCTGTAGGCACCTACTTCGTGTAGTGCACTGACATACGTCCAGGCAAAATACCCATGCATATGAAAATAAAGTCATTTAAAAAATCTAGCAGTTCTTTTCTTTGTATCATAGAATTGCATAGAACTAAGAGCTTAAAGATTAGTAAATTAGTAGATTTTAAATTCAGACTATATAGACCAAGTGTCCTGTGGAAGTTGGAAGATTTCTGAAAAAAATCTGGGCTAAAAGTGTAAATTCAACAGGCAACTTTGAAGCTCACAGTTTTTTGGGTGTGGATTTTAAAATAAAGTTATTATTCTCCTCAATTTGACTTTCTGAAAATGACATTCTAAATGAGGGAACTGGAATTTTTTTTTTTTTTTTTTAAAGAAAATGTATGGAGAGCTAGACGTCCTCTTCCTGACAGATGAATGTGACACAGTTCTGGCTTATGAGAACAAAGGCAAGAGTGAGCAGGCCACTGACAGGAGGGACCCTTTAATGGACACCCTTAGCAGCATGAACAGAGTTCAGCAGGTGGAGCTCATCTGTGGTAAGTACCGTTCAGGAGGCTTTCTTCATCATGCAGGAAAATGGATAATATCTGGTTTCCAACTCTAATGAAAATTAGAGTTATGTAGTAGACACTAGCTACTGTTTGATTTTTAACAATGCTGAATAGTTTAGTTGCTATTACCAATGAATCGTTAGCATTTCATGCTAGAATAATGTTTAAGAAGCCAGTTTTTGCCAGGTGTCAGTGGTGCATGCCTTTAATCCCAGTACTTGGGAGGCAGAGGCAGGAGGATTTTTGAGGCCAGACAGGAGGAAAGGAAGGAAGGAAAAGGAAGAAGCCACAGCATGAACTATTCTAACTAAGGGTAGATAGGTGAACACAGAATAATAAGAGTGTTTCATCCTTTTAGAAGAATTCCCACTGGGCATCATACCTCCCTTTGGGAAGTGTGGCAGTTTTGAGAGTCCTTGAGTGCTTGATGCTTTACAGGAAGTCACAAAGCCCCAGCATGCTCTGGTGACTCAGGGTTTCAGTTCCAGCCGCTTCCCACTCAGATTCCACAACCGTTGTGTCCCTTTTATAGCATTGGTCATTTCCTTTACTTGTAATCAGTTATTTTTTTAAACCTTCATTAGATTAAAAACTTAAAGTTTTTCTTAGTTGGTGTACAAGTAACAGATTTCATTATGATGTTTTCATAATGAATCTATCACTGTGTTTTGGGTGAATTTATGTGTTCATGTGTGCGTGTGCGAACACATGCACGTGCGCACATGTGCAGACTCCAAGAACTTGACTTTTTCAGAAATAGGGGCTGTGTTTAAGAGATTCCTCAGCTGTGATACTGCCTCAAATGTACATAAACTTGAGTGAGCACATGAGTTTGAAGCTGTCTGACGAGGCCAGTAGAGATGGTGGCTCACTCCTTTAGTCCTAGCACTTGGGAGGCAGAGGCAGGCTGGTCTCTGTGAGTTTGAAGCCTGCCTGGTCCACAGAGTGAGTTCTCTGGATTTTAAGTAAGAATATATTGGTATAAACTGTTAAACACTTGCCTCGCAATGACAAAATTTTTAACAGTATGTGGCCTATGTGAATCTGATGTTTTTTGTGCTTTTGATTTAGAATACAATGACTTGAAGACCGAACTTAAGGATTACCTGAAGAGGTTTGCTGATGAAGGCACGGTATGTTGAGTTCAGGAACCTTACCCATAGCCTTTTTGGCTTGAATGAATTGTTCATTTTCTTTAATGTTAAAAAATTGGTGGGGGAAAAAAAAGATTAAAATAACACCAGCATGGTGGCACATGAGCCCAGCACTTGCGAGGCAAAGGCAGGTGAGTATGAGTTTGAGGCCAGCTTTGCTCTACAGAGTGAGTTCCAGGACAGCCAGGGCTACACAGAGAAACCCTGTCTTGAAAAACCCAAACCACACCAAAGAAAACTCCAGCCTAAACAGAGTGCTCGAGTTCCTTTTTGCTGCCTATCTTAACTTCCCAAAGGCTGGGATCACAGGATTGACCACCAGGCCTGGCTGAGGAGCCGAAAGTTTAATGCGGAAACTACTTACTAGGTATTGGCAGGCCAAGGAAGATCAGTAAGGATCAGTAAGGGCTGGTGAAATGTCAAGGGCAGGACAGTGGGGTCTGACTGTAGTAGAGAACTATTGGAAGGAATCTGCTGATTCAGATCCTGGGAAGGGGAATGGGAGTATGACTCAGCAGAAAGAGTTAAAATAGGTTCCTGAGAGAAGCCGAGAGTGGGAAGGAGACTTAACCATTATGGGCTAAAACATTCTCCTGCGTAGTCAGTCTGTACCTTTTGTTGTTATTTTAAAGATTTTATTTTTGTTTTATGTGTATAAGTGTTTGCCTCTGTGTATGAATGTGTACCACATGCATGCCTTGTCCCTAAGGAGGCCAGATGGAGTTGGATGCCCTGGAACTGAATTACAGGCTGTTGTGAGCTACCATGTGAGTGCTGGGAATCAAGGGCAGGTCCTCTGCAAGAGCAGCCTGTGACCTCAGCCACTGAGTCATATCTCCAGCACCATTAGTCTGTACTGTACGGTAGCATGACTATAAGTTATATAATGCTTTAAGAATAGAATTCTGGATAAATGTATAGGTACTTTCCAGTCTTCACTGCTCAAGTGTGTGGCAGACTTTCACCTTCACCTCCGTAGCCAAGACTGTCGTTTTGGATCCAGGCAGCTGGGTGAGGCCCTGGGCCCCAGTGCACTGCTCTGCCTCCCTGGAAACAGTCCTGCCAGTGTATTTGGCTCTACCTTACTCCTTGTAGAGGAGGGAGGCCATGTCTCTGGGTTTCTAGATGGGGCTAAGATGCTGTTTCTGTAAAATGAGTTGTAAAGTCAGACACTAAAAAGGTCTTGTCCCAAATGGTTCTTGTTTTGTTGGTGTTTAGACAGAGCCTCACTCTTTAGTGGTGGCTAGCCTGGAACTCCCTTAATGGACCAGGCTGGCCTTAAACTCAGAGAACTACTTTTCTCAGACTCAGTGCTGGGATTAAAGGTGTGTGTCACCATGCTCAGCTCTGCCTTCGTGTGCTTTAGAACTAGCCCTACTTGTCCACACCTCATGGGTTAGTTATGTCTGTGCTTTCTTCCTTTGCTGCAAAGTCTCTACGTGAGCTGCTTCTAGCTAGCACTGAATGTGTCATGGGAGCAGTGTGGCTCTTGCCTCGTGTAACCACTGCACTCTTCAGACCCTTAGGGTGCTTTAGAGAGAGCCAAGCTCACGCTGATTCTGGTGTAGTTTGTGGTCACAATGCTCTTTACTCTTTAGTAATTTTATGGTGTAGCGTGGAGGTGGCTGAGCAGATAAGAGCTCTTGCTATGCAGCTCTCATGGATCTGAGTTGAAATCCCACACCGTCAGTAAAGAGCTTGGTATAACTGCATTAGAGGCAGGGAGACTGCAAGCGCGTCTCAGCCCCAGCTAGCTCCAGCTCAGAACAGACCCTGCCTCAAGGAACAGTGCAGAGTGATTCTCCTGGGGCTTCTGTGTGTGTACACACCAAGACACACATACCTGAGAATACACCCTCCTTCATTCTCTCTCAAAATCATATTAGAAAAAAATATCTTTTTCACTTTACAATTTGAAACTATTTTATGCAGAGAAAATTTTGCACTTGATGGGATAATTTAAAAGAACAGAAAATGTAGTTTTAAAAATTATTTGGGGCAGGCCAGGTATGGTGACACATGTCTTTAATCTCAGCACTTGGGAGGCACAGGGAGGCGAATCTCTGTTGGTGGGTTCCAGGACATTTAGGGCTACATAGTGAGACCCTGTCTCCAAAGGAGGGGGTATTATTTGGGAGATTGGCGATATGACTCAACACTTAGGAAGGCTGCTTGAGTTTGATTCTCACAAATCCACAGGGCAGCTCAAACCTGTCTGTAACTCCAATTCCAGGAGATGTAACATTTTCTACTGGCTTCTGTGATGGTTGAACATACTTGGTGCACAGACATGCAGCAAAACACCCATACACATAAAATAATATATGTATATTTTAATTATTTGTGTGGCCATGAGATTGTTCAGTGAATAAGGGCACGTGTCATCAAGCTTGATAACCTACATGGAACCCATAGTGGCAGGAGAGGACTCCTGAGAGTTATTCTCTGACCTCTGTACATGTGCTTCCCCCAGTAGCTAGGTGAACATGACTGAAGACAACTAGAATTCAGCATTTGACTCTGGTGTGTGTGGGCTTAGGTGTCCTACCACAATAACTGTGGATAGAGAGTCTTTTCTTTCATGGCTTTCTGTTAATGTTTGTAATCCAAGGTCAGGACAGACCCTTTTGCTCATGTGCATTCAAGTGCATTTTTCTTGTGTTCTCTTCCTCCTCCTCTGCCCACCTTTCCTTCCTACCAATAAACACATGTGTTACTTTTGTATTTAAGAAGAGATGATGAAGCTGCCTTGTGCTAGCTGCAGTCGATTCAGGACTGGGTTGTCCCAGCTTTCCTCATTTTAATCCATGTCATTCCTTGGCCTTAGTATTGCAGACACCTTTGTACATGAAGCTCTAAGTCCTTTGTCATAACTTAAATGTAGTGCATCCATAATTTGACTCAGTTTTGAGGGTTTTTATTTTCTCCCCAACCATTTTTCTACTGATGTTAACAACCATCTTTTTTAAACTCAAGGTACATTTAAACATTTTTTTCTCTTTAAGAAAAGCTGCTCTTCCCCATTAGTGCAGAAGAAAACACAAAAGAAAGCCGAGGGTAGTGACCCACCTTCATTTCCAGCACTTGGGAGGCAGGGGGAGTGTATGTCTGTGTTCCAGGCTACCCAGGGCCACAGAGTGCGACAAGAAGCACAGACTGAGAGCAGAATGCTTTGTTTTCTGTCATGCTTTGCAGATCAGAAGGAAAGCTGTGCTCTGAGCATGTGCAGTGACCTTAGGTCTCTCGGGTCACTGTGTCCCAGGGGCTCTGGGATGGTTCGGCTGATTCTTACTAACAGCACACCGTGTGCATTATAGACTGTAGCTCACCTGATCTTAGTGCTGCTTTTATAGTTTCCATGGGCAGATGCTGAGGTAGGTGGTGCAAACTGAGGTTTGAGCCATTCTCTGTTGCCTGGCTGTGTGTCTGAGTGGTCAGCCTCTGTGGGCCTTGGTGAGCATTTCTGTAAAAGGGTGGTGTTGACTATACACTGAGATACAGAGACCTGTCAAATGTGGTTTGCCTTAGGATTTCTCACACTGCTGTGAAAGGAAAGCAGTGCCTTGAGTAAAACTCCCTTGAGTTGCGAATCTGCCACTCGTGTCAGGGACAGCCTCGGTCACCGCACAGCATACTGTGTTCTCTGCTCTGGTGCTTGCCAGCTTAGGTGTGGTCACCACAGTTTCACACTGCAGTGAATTTACCCACATTTACTTGTGGTGAGTGGAGGGGTGCCTGCAATTCTTTTTTGTTTTATTTTTGTAGTTTTTGAAACTGGGACACATTAGGTATCCCAAGGTAGCCCTTGAACTTGTAGCTGTCTTCCTACACTAGGATTACAGACTATGCTACCAGGATAGCTGTCCTGCCTCTGGAATTAACCAGTGGAGTCCTTCTGCTTGCTTGTGAGTGCTCTGACCTCTTGTTGCTATTGTATAATGTAGCTCCCTTTCAAATCTTGGCTTTTCACCAACAGGTTGTTAAGAGAGAAGACATTCAGCAGTTCTTTGAAGAGTTTCAGTCAAAAAAGAGAAGGCGAGTGGACGGGCTGCAGTATTACTGCAGCTAAAGTGGAGTGCCATGCTTCCTCAGTCAGGTTCATGAAAATGCCACTGTTCCGGAATAAAGAGACCTGTGTCACACTTGGTTCCCTCTCCATCCTCCCGTGGCCTCGGGCTCCCTTCTGCTTCACAGTAGCTGCAGTGTTCACTCTGGTCTCTCAACAAGCATCCTCTATGACTCAGCTCATTCCACAGACTTCAGCTTTCCTGTCCAGGAGACCCAGGATTTCTCTTTAAGAAGTTTGATTTGATCTTTCAAAAGCAAATTAACTTCTTTCCTAGCAGTTTTCTCTGTGACTTCCAAATGTGTGTCCACATAGCCAGTGCCCTCCAGGTCCTCTGTGTCCACAGAGCTATTGCCCTCTGGGTCCTCTGTGTCCACAGAGCTGTTGCCCTCCGGGTCCTCTGTCCACAGAGCTGTTGCCCTCCGGGTCCTCTGTGTCCACAGAGCTGTTGCCCTCCGGGTCCTCTGTCCACAGAGCTGTTGCCCTCCGGGTCCTCTGTCCACAGAGCTGTTGCCCTTTGGGTCCTCTGTGTCCACAGAGCTGTTGCCTTCTGGGTTCTCTGTGTCTTGCGGGTTCTCTTCCTGTCAGCCCGAACTTCTGTGGGGAACACTCCCTCTGCCCCCATGATCACGGTGCCTTGGGGCAAAGCTTCCTCCAGCCTGCTCTGCCAGTCCTCTTAGTGCTTTGTGAGATTGGATCGTGGCTTGAAGTGATTGGGAACTTACCAACCTTCAGAGTAGCCAGGACTGATGTTGATGTCTGTTGGAGGTTGACTCATAGCAGGATTGAGGAAGCAAGCCTTTGTTCTGAATTTCGCTGATTAATTTAAAGTGGAATTTCATTACCATTCTAGTGGCCCTCAAACATCAGCGGTAGTACTGTAATGCTCCCAGGGCTTCCCAGGAATCCACTCCCATGTGAGCCCCTTTGCTGCTGCCTAAAATGACCAGATCCTACCCCCTGACATGTGGGTGCTTTACAGATCCTCTGGTTTCTTACATTATCAGGGATATGCATAAGCATATATTAAAAATGGACCTATTTTGATACTGTTCTGTTAGGAAATGTTATTAGAACCCCAGTAAGTTGTTTTTTCCCTTGAATCTGTGCTGAAGGCAAAGATACTGACTGACCTTAGTGGGAGTAAGTGGGGCAGTGACAGCCTTAGAAGAGAAATGGAGGAGTCCAGCCAATGCCCTCAGCTGTGTACATGTTGAGTCTTTGTATATAAACAGTGTGCACAGCCGTTCCCTTCTGACTAGTGGTCTGAAGGTCTTCATGGATGTATAAAAACCTGTGTTTGAGGGAAATCTTTGGGATGCTGTGAAGTCTTTTTAAAGCTCCCTCAGTCTATGTGGGAAACATCTTTTGATCCACAGACCCAGGTCACACCCTCAGGAGGAGCAAGCTCTTCCCTGGCACACTGTGAGGTATATTAAAGGCATTTTAGGCCATGTGTTGGTGGGGATAGCTTTGTGTGTGAGCAGCAGTTGTATGCATGAATACCCCAATTCCTGGACAAGATGAAGTAGCCTACAAATAAGGTCTCAGGAAATGGCATGGCTCCTGTACTATATAGAGCCTACAGCCTTCTAGTGACAGATGCTGTGAAGACTGCTATGTGGAGCTGTAAAGTTCTTCCGGCTGCAGGCAGAGCCTGTGTGCGCTGAGCTGGCATCCTAGAAACGGCTCAGTTAAAGACTCCAGGTGCCTACAGCCTAGAGGTCTTCCAAGTCCGAGGATATTTTGAATTTGAGAGTTGCACTTTCTGTGTACCAGCATGTCTTTGAAATTTGTATCTTCCCAGACGTCAGATTTAACTACCAAAAAGTTCCTGTCTGCCCTCGATAGGTCAGAATCAAGGCTTAGCAGCAGTGTCAGTGAGCAGCAGAAATACAAACAGCCAGTGTTGAAGGGCTTGCCTAAGAAAGTTTCCCCACTTAACCAGAAAACCTCTTTTTGTACCTGTTCACAACTAGTTTTCTTACTGACTATTCTCTTAGAGATGGTTTGGGCCAACATGTGGCAGTTGATATTAATGCATGTTTTATGCAGAAGAAAATGTGATACTAATTGCTCTTAAGGAATTCTGGCATTGTATGTACATTTTTGTAGAAATTATTACTCAACGTACTTCAATCAGGTTTCTGTAAAATTCAAATTAAACCAATTCAAAATAGTTGCTTTTCTGATTGTTGTTGGTTCTGTTTGTTTTTAACTCATTGTCTACATGGCCTCTGTCTGCTGCTGGTATGTCTGCCCACAGCTTTCCTACCCCAGGTTCCTGGTTCAAATTGGAAGTAGTTCATTTTGTGCCCACTACTCTATAAAATGGATTCTGGCTCTGGGGGAATGGCTCAGTGGGGTTAAGAGAGTTTGCTGCCCAAGTGTGACCTGAGTTCAAATCCCAGGACCTACCCAAAAATGAGTGTGGTTGTACTCACATGTTGGTAGCCTCTGTCACTGATGAGTGCTGGACATGAGGGTCAGGGTTACCAGCCTAGGTCCAAGTTCAGTAATGGATGATGTCAGAGAGAGATGAGGGGAGTGATACTGCCCACAGTCGGGTGAATGCAGTGTTCTCTCTCATCTTGGAGCTGTTCCCTGATGAAGGAAGGCATCCTCGGAGCCAGGAAAGATGTCCTTGGGTGTAGTCAGGAATGCAGCAAATTACTAGCAATCTGGATAGGATGGGTAAGAGAAGGGGACCCAAGCCCTAGAAATTACCAAGTGTTTCAAATCACTTGGTTCTGTATTTGTAGTAGGGGATGGCAGTCTGGAAACTATGGGCTAGTGATGTGCCAGGCATCCTGATCAAGGAGAGCAGCAGATGGACACACTTGCCAAGTGGCCTAGGTTTCTGGTCAGACACAAGTCCTGCAATCAGTTACTGCAGAGACCTATAGCTGCTCCGAGTGCTGAGAACTTGTGACCGGTGACTGGTCAGCCCAAAATGAAGACCTCTATAGTGCCCTTCCCAAGGGTTAGGCAAAAAAAGGAGGGGCAGAAAGAGTCTTCGTGGAGAATGGGTCGGAGTGATGTGTAATGCTATCTTCTGGGCATCGGATGACTCTTGAAACAAACAAAAACAACAGGAGAAAATGTTTTGAGAAGTGAGGAAGTAATATTTAGTCTTTTTCCTTTAATTTGAAGAGATGATATAAATCATGTGAAAACTTAGCCATGGCTGGTGAGTGGGTGGAGCCTGACACCCTGGATTTGAGTCCCAGGTGGAAGGAGAGAACTGACTCCCCTAAGTTATCCTCTACCTTCACAAGCTCTATGTGGCATGTGTGCTCACCCCCAAGGAAACAAATGAGAACAGGGGTTGGTGGGTTTTGCTTGGTAGTGGAACATGTGCTTAGCATACCTGAGGCTGTATTCTCAACTCTGAGCCCCACTGAAAAAAGAACCACATACAAATAGCACTATAAAAAGTAACAAGCAGGGAATAGAGGCACACAATGTTAGTCGGTCCTGGCGCTCAGGGGGCAGAAGCAGGCAGATCTTTGAGTTCGAGGCCAGTGTGGTTTACACAATCTTATGCCAGCCAGGACTACCAAGAAAGAGAAGTGGAGAAAAAGAGACAAGAGACTACAATTCCAAGTCCCCCAACCCCATTAGCCCTCTCAGGAGCAGCCTTGTAAAGTACTCTTGAGAATTGTCACATACACCTTATTTTATCTGTCATTTTCTCTGCTCCACATGAAGAATGTGTGACACTTCTATCCTTAAGCCATCCCTGCAGATGCCTTGGCTGGCAATTGAGTGCCACACTGCAGTTGTGGGGGCCTGGTCAGTGAGTCCCCTCTGAAAGACACAGGAAGGTAAGATCCTCTGAGTCTTCACCTGTATCTTCCATCTTCCAATATCCCCTCAGTCATGAAGTATATGTAGACCACTTTCCCTGACTTTCTACCTAAATACACTTGTCAGATAGGTGCTCCTTTGAACTCCTGGCTAAACTAATATGACCAATATTCAACTCATTTACCTCAAGTTCAGACCCTCCTTATCTTGCCTACCAACTGTAGAGGCTGGTGTTCTCTTGCTAATAGTGTTACCCAAAAAACAAAGAATTGCTGAACAGCCAATGGCTAGGCAGAGGGGGATGGGGTGGGACCTTTAGATTTTCTAGGAACTGGGAAAAAGGAGAATCACCATGATTTGGAGAGAGACAAATCAGATTTAGAACTGCAGAAGGAAAACCGTCTGCAATGTAGGTGAGAAGGAATGTGGTCCCCCAAAGGGCTTACCCAGAAGCGTCTTGGGGAGCAAAGACCAGAGATCCACGCAGAAGGAGCTAGGGCAACAAAGATAAAATATGGAAATGGAGCCATATTACATATTATAAGACAGGATTATAGGAGGGAAATGAGTGCTAGCCACAGGGAGGATTAGAACTGCCCAGCCTTTGAGCTAGCCAAGGCATTTTAAAAATTAACTGGTGTGTGTGTGTGTGTGTGTGTGTGTGTGTGTGTGTGTGTTCTATTCACAAATCCAGATAGCTCCTGGTGTGTGCCCTCCACTACAACCAACAGTTACCAAGTCGTGAAACATTGCGCCCTCTGTAGCCTAAATTCATCCATCCTCATTTGGCTCTCTGCATCACTCCTGAGCCTCTTCCCACAGTTGGGAAAGCTGGCTAATAACTACCTGTCCACCCTCCATTTCAGGCTAAAGCTTTTGTAGCAATTTTGACGTTTGAGATTGGCATTAGGGCTAATCTCAGTATCTTTGCCTGTCCAAGATGTATAAGCCGGGCCCACTAGCTTGTCCCAGAGCCCTCATTCGTGCTTAGCCCTTGCTGCCCCAGGCTTTGCCCTCCACAGCCCTCCTTAGCTTCTAGCCTCAACAGTTGTCTTCTCTCTCCTCACCCTGCCAAGTCTTTCCGACCCAGCGTCTCTTTTAACAGTGTCTTTTTTTTTTTTTCCAGGAAGTTAAAATGTTGAAGTAGAACTAAGTGTCTTTAGTCCAAGGTCTTCCATGCTTGGAGGTCTGAGTACCTGGATACAGTCTGACTGACTGACTGACCACAAGGCACTCCAGGTGTCTGGTAAACATGGCTGACTTTCCTCTGGAGACTATTACTTAAATTTGTACAGAACAGTCTCACAAAAAAGTCCTGGGTGAAATAAACATAAACTTGGTCCAGAATGGGTAATATTCAAGGAAACCATCACCACCATTATTAAAATGTTTCTGAATAACTGAAAGCATGAGACGGAAAATGTGCCCTCCCCCCAGCCTTGAGCAGGCCTGAAAGACCTTGTTTACCACAATAGACCAAAAATAAGAGGACCTAGGTGGAGTTACCCACCTTGGCTGCACATACAGCCTCCTACAGGAACTTAGAAGAATAGACTGCCCTCTGAGCTTGCCTTGAGACATCTCCAGCTGTGACAAAGGATGGGTTCCCTCACCCATCTCCAGCAGTGGCCAAGGATGGGTCCCGTCACCCATCTCTGGCTGAAACAAGAAGGGGTTCAGTGGTGGGGCTTTCCCTTTAAATTGAGAGCTGAACATTAAACTTTGAGCCTTGATCAGAGAGCTTTGTCTTGGCTTCATCTTTTCTTGCCCTCCATCCCTTTTTTCATTTCCAGCCCCCCTTTCAGGAGAACCCAGTTGGTCTGTGGCCACAGGTGGCTCCAGGTGGTGCCCCAAACGAGGGGCCTGAAAACAGGGGGACCTACTGAGAAATGCTGTCTTAGGTGGAGGTCCATGGAAAATGGAAGAAGAAGAGTATCCCATGCCCTTGGTAAGCAACAAACAGCACTGATGATAGCGCTAGTTATTTTTTGGAGGCTGTGTTTGTAGGAAATATGTTTAAGGGGATACAGACTAGATTGAATAGGTGTTGACCTGACACCGACCTCACCTAGGAGGTAACATCGAATATGGGACAGGAGAATTCTAAATAGGCATTCACCCACAGCCTAAGAGCTGCCTCAGGCGAGAGGAGCAGGGTTAGAAAGAATTGGGAAAACAGGGCACTGAGGAGTAACTATCAATAGCAGCCACTACACCTCCTAAAGAAAGAGATGAAGAGTTAGACCTTGAATATGAGAGAGAGAAAGGGTTTCAAAAAAGCAGTTGTCTTCTCTCTGGGCTGCATCAGCAAAAAAGAAGGAAAAGGCTATTTCAGAGCTCTCTTAGGAAAAGGAGAAAATTAAGGAGATGATCTCCATTTTCTCTGGCTTCTACAGGTAAAGCCCTTAGTTCTGCTTGCTTTGTCTATTGTCTGTCCTTGGCCCGTCAATCTGTCCGTGTGTCAATTGTCTGCTTTTGTTTCGATGTTTGAATGATTGGTGTTCTATGTTTCATGTTCTTAATGTGCACAGCAGAAGCTGATAAGTTACCCTACAACTGTAGCTAGAAGTCAAGCTGAGCTGGAAAAGCCTTTCCAGGAACTGATTGGCTGCATAAGCTGCTTTTAAAAGGACCAGCAGCTTTTTGGCTTCTATGATAAGGAAGCTGAGAGTCATTTTTCCCAGAAAAATCTCTGTGACAAATCTCTTGAAATTACAGCTAGAAAAAGCAAGAAAATTTTGTTTAGTCTAAATATGTAAGATGTGTAGCCACTTCATTTTTGTTTCTGGTTTTAAAGGTATAAATATGTTCTGCATGTCTTGGTTAAAGATTATTGGCATATAAGTTATTGGGTATGATTAAAAATTTGCAACTTTGGTAACAGAAAGTTGACTTAAAACTGGTAATTCAGGGTTGGAGTCATTCAGAAACCAGATGTATAAAAGATTTAAAACAATGTCTCTTTAATGAGATATTAAAAGCAGCACTATCATGCATTCGTATATAAGAACTGGCAGCCAAACTTTGTAACATGAAAGTAATGTACTTGGTGTTGATTTTAGAGAAAATGGATTGTTTACGTTGTTAAAAATTGGTTTTATTTCCCAAAATTATGGTTATACTCTAATACTGCAAAAGAAACTTAAAAATATAGTTAAACTGCCATTATTCTATTGGCTGCAGTTGGCAGTTCAATGGTGAGTTTGGGAGTTTTTGACTCGCCCATGTTTATAGAGAAGAAGACAGAGCAGGTAGAGATGAGTAAAAGTGTTAAAAACAGCTGTGACACAGTACAGGCCTGCAGGAAGGATAATCTTTGGGCCAGGCCTCAGAAAATAGGTCCAGATTAAGAACAATTACATTTGAATTAAGACAATGCAGACTGTGCTCAGCAGAAGCTTGTGTGACAGACATTCCTTTTGTCTTGGACATCCTGACCAGCCCCTAGAAAGGTGATTTCTGGAATTTGTTTATTACCTTGCTTGTTTCTTGAAGGGGAGGGGTCAGGCTCAGACCCAAAGACATTCACAAAAGACAGTTTATGGGCCAGAAGTTATAATGATTATGCTGGAGAAATTAAAATTATGCCTGCTTCCCTCCATGGCATTATAACTGTACCTGCTGGCAAAAGAATTTTTAAACTTGTTTTGGTTCCTTTGTGTCCACGTCCTTCCAAATTTGTTGAGAATGATAGAGGACAAGATGACTTTGGCTCCTCTGATGTGTTCTGGGTTCAGTCTATTACTAGCAAAAGACCTAATCTTAAACTAATAATTGAAGGAAAAGGTTTTGAAGGATTAATAGATACTGGGGCTATGTAACAATTATTTGAGGACAAGATTGGCCTTCAATTTGGCCTTTATCTGATACTCTCACTCAACTACAAGGAATTGGTTATTCAATTAATCCAAAACAAAGTTCAAATTTAAGATTAATGAAACTTGTGAGGCATTACAGCCTGACTTGCCTACTCCAGTTGCCATTCCAGTAAATGCATATAGAATTATTATAGACCTAGAAGATTGTTTTTATACCACGTCTTTACATCCTGGTGAGAGATTTGCATTCAGTGAATTTTCTTGTAATTTTTGAGAGCCCATGAAGCCATATGATTAGAAAGATTAGCCTCAAGGAATGGTTAATAGCTTTATATTATATAAAAAACCTTTGTTGTTGCTTTAATAAAAGAAGTTAAGAGTTTAAATCTTTCAGTGTATATTATTCATTGTATGATATTTTATTAGCTGATCTTTCTGAAGGAGTTTTTCTGCAGGCTTTTGTTCTCATATAACAAGCTTTAAAATTTTGGTGTGCTTGTTGCTCCAGAAAAAATTCAAAGGCAATATCTTTTCAATATTTGGGACCTCAGTTACATCCTAAGCAGATTGTGGCATAGAAAATTCCAATAAGAATGGAGAGTTGGGGCTGGAGAGATGGCTCAGCCGTTAAAGGCTAGGCTCACAACTAAAAATATTAGAGTTCAATTTCCAGCAACCACATGGTGGCTCACAACCATCTGTAATGGAATCTAGTGCCCTCTTCTGGCTTGCAGGTATACATGCAGAAAAAAAAATGGTTTACTTTTAATGATTTTCAAAAGCTGTTAGATTTTAATTGGCTAAAACCTCATCTTAAGCTTACTGTAGGAGAACTCAAACCTCTGTTTGATATTTTCAAGGGGGATGCAAATCCTAATTTCCCTCAACAATCAGCTGATGAAGGAGGAATAACTTTGCAGAAAATAGAGTAAGTTGTTAGTTATCAACAGATACATTAGATAGACTATGATCAACTGTTGGCTGTTTGAGTTATTGCTACTCATGTGTTCACAACAGCCCTCTGGCAAGAGAAACCATTAATGTGGACTCATCTTTCTTCATCTGCAAGTAAAGTTTGAACATCCTATTATGAAATTGTTGCTGTGTTAATAAAGAATTGTAAGATAGAATCCTGAAAGTATTCTGGATTAAATGTGTATTCCTTATTCCAAACAGCAATTAAATTGGTTATTGGAGAATAATGATATTTGGCCTATTATATGGCAAACTTTTTAGGCAAATTTGATAATCATTATCCAAAAGACAAGTTGTTATAGTTTTCCTCTATGCGTGCTTTTGTATTTCCTGTAAACTTGATTGCAGCCCATAGAAAAGATGTTTACTGTATTTACAGACAGCTCATCTAATGAGAAGGCAGAATATGTAATTAGTTCACATGTTCATTTTCTTGAGTTTCCCCCTGATTCAGCACAAATAACTGAATTATGTGCTGTAGCCACTGTTTGAAATGCTGAAAAATCAAGCCTTCAATCTGGATACTCATAGCCAGTATACGGCTCATGGTTTATAATTGCTTGAAATTGTTCCTTTTTTAGATATTGCTAATTCCCAAAATTTACAGGTATTTATACAAATACAGCTTAATTTAAGAAACATGTACTGTTCCTTAACTTTATAAGACATTTAAGAGCTCATATTGGATTGCCTGGACCCCAGGGCAATGCTACAGAGATTTGTATACCAGGCAGATTATAGACTTTACAGAAACAAATGGGTACACAATCTTATTTACATCATCAAAATAGTGATAGCCTGAGACAATAATTTGATATTTCTAGAAAGTGTGTTAAGTCAAGTTGCAAAAACTTTTCGGTATCTTCAATCTTTTCATAATGGTGTTAAGCCTTGAGGACTTACATGCAATCAATTATGGCCAATGGATATTACTTATTTCAGATCTTGGAAAATTAGAATATGTACATGTGACTTGACACCTTTTTAGGCTTTCTAATTGCAACTGCTTTAACAGGAGAAGCAACTAAAAATATAATTAGTTATTGCCTACATTATTTTTCTATGCTTGGTGTTCCATATCAGATTATAGACAATGGAACTGCCTATTGCAGTCAAACATTTGAGATGTTCTGTTGACAATTTAATATTACTCATATTACTGGGATTCCTTATAATTCTCAAGGACAAGGAATTGTGAAACAGATATTATGGAACTTTAAAATAATATCTCCATAACTCTCTGAGTGTAGGAGGAGCAGCTACTGGTGCTTCTGCCCTGGTTTTGCAAGGAACTCTGAAAAATAGGCTTTTAATAACTAGTAAGAGGGAGACTTATACCCTCGAAGGTCACCAAAAGCACACCTTGCTTTTGTCGTGTTTTAAATTGTTTGCAAACTGATGCTAAGGGTCAGTCTGCAGCAGATCGCCACTGGCATCCAGTCACTTCCAGCTCATTTGCCAGAGTCAAATGGAGAGACCCCAGATTAATACATGGGATGGTCCCGACCCTGTTTTAATTTGGGGTCGTGGCTCGGTCTGTTTTTTTTTTTTTTTTTTCACAAAAAGAAAATGGAGCCTGGTGGCTGCCTGAAAGATTGGTCCGTCAAGTGGACACAGATCTTGGGCCTAATAATTATGATTCTAATTATGAAGATAGCCCGAAATCACTATGAGCCAGCTGAGTTAACCTGGCATATAGTCTCCACTCTTACTGTCGAGACTAACACTCTTAGTGTTTTTATTATTACTTAAAGCCACCCACTATATACCTGGTGGCCAGACACTGTGTCTGATCCCTGCCAACCAGCAGTTGGATTAGATAACTGGGACATTTCTGCCATAACCTTTCTACACTGCTTGGATAATCCTGTTCCTTTTAACCTTTGAACCTTTTATCCCAAACAGATTGGTTGCCTTCACACAGCACTGCTCTCAGCAAGCTCAGCTATTCACCATGGCAGTTATCTATTGCTATGAAGAATTGCATTGAGTGCATGCTCACAGGTCCTTTGGTCTGAATGTGACTTTGGTCTGTATGGGAAAAAGTGTGCCAAAGATGGCCGGTTAGTCAAAGATGGGTAAGAGTGTTCTTGAGCTCCTATAGACCTAAGACAGAGGCATACATCAATAATGCTATGTATGTTCTCCATGACGGGTAATAAGGAGCAATATAGACACCAACCTAAGCCAGGCATGCTCGCCCGACCACTCTTTACCCTAGACTGGATGAAATCTTGTGCCCTGTCCAGCTATTGGCACTGCTTATCTTAAAAAACCTAAAAAGGGGGAACTGTGCCCTCCCCCGAGCCTTGAGCAGGCCTGAAAGACCTTGTTTACCACAATAAACCAAAAATAATAGGACCTAGGTGGAGTTACCTACCTTGGCTGCATGTACAGTCTGCTACAGGAACTTAGAATAACTGCCTGCTGAGCTTGCCTTGAGACATCTTCAGCTGTGACAAAGGATGGGTTCCCCAACCCATCTCCCCAGCAGTGACCAAGGATGAGTCCCCTCACCCATCTCTGGCTGAAGCAAGAAGGGGTTCGGTGGTGGGGCTTTCCCTTTAAATTGAGAGCTGAACATTAAACTTTGAGCCTTGATCAGAGAACTTTGTCTTAGCTTCATCTTTTCTTGCCCTCCATCCCTTTTTTCATTTCCAGCCCCCCTTTCAGGAGAACCCAGTTGGTCTGTGGCCTCAGATGGCTACAAGAAAATCTAGAAAACGTCCAGATTCTACCCTTAAGGGGTACAACAACATCTGTAGATGAAGACCAAATGCTGTAAGCTAGAACAGACTATGTCCAACTCGGCAGGTTCTATACAAGCCATTTATTTGAAATGCCAACTATATGTAGGATAAAGTTGGTGTTACATGCTTATCAGTAACAGTAGAAAAATAGAACCAGTGAAAACCTCTGTACAACTGTGATGGTACTCAAAAGAGAAATGTATCGTTTACAATGTTTCACACAGACGAATTCAAGTTTGGAGGTACCTAAATAAAAATACTATATATTTCTTTAAAAAACACTATGTACAATTGAAGCGTAAACAAGTTTTACAAAGTACTGGTTATGCAGGTTGTAAAAACACTTGCATAGGACATGAAATCAGTTTAAGAAAGATTTCTGAGCCTTTAGCATTGAAGGCACTTGACTTTACCATTAACAGCACAACCACAAGAAACGAAGTGGTGGAGGCCAGCTGTGGCGCATACACGGACGGCAAGGGAGCTCGGAACATCAGGGTTTTCAATTGCCTTATCTGAGAGCAGAATGCCCTAGCGTCTACCCAGATAACCCAGACAGTCATCTGCAGGCATACCTGAGGACTCTTCCAGAACACATCTGATCTCAGAGCTCACAGAAACACACAAGTAGAAGATATTTCCAGGACACAAACTTGCAGTCGTTCTATAAAAATGTCCGCAGCATTATAATATTCTGAATACAGAGGATTGGTATGGTCATGGATCTGATTTTTAAGGAAAACAAAATCAAAAGACTTGCCCAGACAATAAGCACATGACAGCTAGTACAACTGTTGGGACAAAAGAACTTCTATTTTACAGAGCACTGTTCAAAGCAGTGTTTATAGAGGATAGTAAAACACCTGCAGGGCGTGCAGAACAGCTAGCTCTTAGCAAGATTATCTGAATGAGGCTTGAAAGTAACTACATGGTAGACTTTGTGAATGGCTGCAGACCCAGGGATAGCACCCATCACTGCGGCATTAATAGTTTTGACTACAAAGAGATTAACTCAGCCCTAATGGAAATCATTGCAAAACAATGGTCTTATGCAAATTTCACGAAAAGCTTTTTTTCCCTTAAAAGGCAAGTATTATGAATACATATCTCCTTGTTGTAGAGAATGCACCTGAGGCCAGCTTCGGCCCAGCTGGCCCACATGGCATTCATCAGCTCTCATTACTTCTGTAGCATCAGTTTCAAATGTGTAAGAGCTGTACCCATCGCTATCAACGTCAACAAACAATGAAAGGAAATGCAATAAAGGATGACAAATGTTAATAGAAAACCTGAAACCAAACACAACAGCCAATGAGAAAGCAAAATCAGGAATTAGGTTGAGTTACAGAAGAGGTACAGAAGTCATATATTTAACACTATAAGACCTAAAAGCCCAACAGGTTACTGAAATGCTAGGCTAGCTCAGGCCCGCACTGAAGAACAAAGTCAATGGAGGAATGTAAAAGGGAGACGGTCCATGGAAATTTAAGGATCTATGTTTTGAATGGTTTTATTTTTTTTCTCCTTATGAGCCATAGGCAACTTTAAATGTAAGTTATTTTTCAAAATTACAAAACTAAAACAAAAATACAAGAAAAGGATCAACAGCGTCTTGAGAACCTAAGTGGTGGTTCTCCAGCCTCAGCACTCAGTGGGACTGGAATGGTGATTGTCCAAACGGCCTGATTGTCCCTGGCCTCAAAAGGAGATCTGGGATTTTTGTGATTTGGTTTATATTATACATATATACCTTCTTTTATGAGACCAACCCTATTCACATTTCACATTTTAAGTACAGCATTAAGAAACTTCATAGATGGTTCACAGAGGCACACAGTCTAGCTTCCCACGAACACCTATCCTATCACACACAACACCACACCTGTTTATCTTCTGCAAGTCACACCAGTCCACAATCCCACAGATTAAAGCAAGATTTCCCTCGATACACACAGTTTGGCCAGTTAACCTACTAAGTCACTAAAAACAAACCTTATAAATTAAATAAGACTACAAACAGTGTCCATTTACTTTTATAATTACATTATGTGGATTAGAGAGTACATTTAATGAATTTTCAGAAAAAATAAAAAGTGTGAGATCGATGGTCCTAAAATGTTAAAAAAAAACAAAGCCTGTCAAAGGTGAGAAAGCTGTGATGTACTTGCTTCTTTGCAGCACCTGCACAATACAGTCTGATCTGGAACCATCTCAAACCACATCAAACAACCAGGTCCCACAAACAGGCAGGAGCAGAATGGAATTGCTTTTGCTTCTGCAACCTGAGACTGTGCTTCAAAAGATACAACTTTTAAAGATGAGCAGAGCCCTGTGGTTTTCTACCTTAAGAAAAAGAAGAGCCTGACAGGTCACGTGAGCCCACCTTGCGGCAGATCTATAGCTGCCCTGTCCAGGCCTCCAAGTTTAGGATGCACATGACCAGGGCCAGCCACAGTCCCTGGATTCATGAGCTAACGAGCGAGGCAACAGAACCAGTGGCAGCCATTGTGGGGTACACAGAGATGGGCATGGTCCCATCTATGAGATCATCTACTGTTAGGATGGTTTAAACGTCAGGTCATTCCTGAGTGTATATTCACAGGGTCACGTGGGAAAAGATCCTAAGAGAAACTACAGTTTCAGGAGAAATCAGAGTTGCTGATACCCAATAGAAATCTATTTACTTCAAAGTGCGTGCAATTCACTTCTCCGGTAGCTTGTGAAGGCTCCCTAGCCCTGCATAGTTTTTGAGTGAGTGTAAGTGATTCCTAGTTATATGTATACACATAGAGAAGAAGTTCCCAAATACTTTTTCCATACACAATGTTCAGGAAGTCTCTTTTCTTCTAGGTGCTACAGCTGTGTGTTTATAAAAATACAAAATGAATGTTCAAATGGTGCTGAAGTGATTTAAAAACTTAAATACTAATATATTTACACTGGAAAGTAAGAAAAAACAAAAAAACAAAAACAGTCCTTAGCTCACACATTGCCCTTCCAAGAGAAGGGATCATGAACGAACCCACGTGCTCAGTGTTTCAGTAAATACCAAACCAGCGTCTCCGGTGGAGTTCAAGTAGGACACGTAGTGTTTTACTGAAAATGAAATAGTTTTTGGTGATAAAGCACTATGCATTATACAACTTTGAAGAAGACACCAAAGTCCAGACATACTTGACAATATTAAGAAAAATGTATGATTACAAATACCAAATGACATACATAAGACTGAAGCCCTTTTGTTTTTGTTTTTCCCACAAAATGCAAGACAACCAAAGGCAGTCATTTCCCCCAGTATCATGAATCACATGCAGAGCCAGGCACCCCATCAGTGTGCGCTGTGTGTGACATCACCATCTCCGATACTGTTTTTTGTTTCATTTTGTTTTTAGAGGCAGGGCTCACATACCCAGCCTCATCTTGAATTTACTATGTAGCCTAAAATGAAATGAACTTCTGATTGGCTGTCTCCACCTCCCACATGCTGAGATTATAACTGTGCACATCCACACCAAGCCCAGCTCTACTGTTTTCTAATACTAAAGTCTAATTTCCTCAAGCCATGTGAGTGAGGAACTCTACTCCAGAATCTACAGGGGTCCCAACAAAACCCACACTGTAATTACACAGCAGCCATATGCTGAACACCAAGGCTTCCTTCCTTCCTGTTCTTTACTGAATCAAAAAACATCAAGACCTGGACTTCTGCTGTGGGGAATGAAGACTGGCTTTCAAGAGTTACCAAAAAAAAAGAAAAAGAAAAAGAAAAAGATATCAGATTTATGGAGACTGAGCAGGAAGATTCTGAACTGAAACAATCACCAAAAAGAGAGGAGCGTTTGATGTGCTGTTCTTTGGAATTTCTATAATTAAAAAATAAACACAACTATTTTGTAAGAAAATACATCTTAAGTGTGCAACTCAATGCACATGGAAACTGGTAATGATAGGTAAAATGCAAAAAGTATGAAAATACAGTCCTTTAAATGTAGCAATAAAGTTTAACACACTGTTATAAAATCAATACAAATAAAATGTACAAGTGCAAAAAGTTAGTCATCTGTAAAGGAGAGAAAGTGCCAGCTTGCTTGCTCTTTAAGATGTTCCCCACACAACTGTTAAACACAAAAGACAGATGCAGCATTCAAAACAACCCTCTTAGCATGCCATGTATAATAAACATATATACACACAAAAGCTAGAATAAAACGTGGAACTGAGCTGGCATCGATAAACCGGTCAGTAAGTTGTTGGGTTACATCATAAGACAAGATGTTTCACATCTCAGGCACAGACTCGGAAGCTACTTCAGAGGGCAGACTTTTTGTAGAGGAAGTCTGGCTTGCTTGGCGACCTCCTTCCTCTGCTAATGGAATCGTCCCTTTCCAGATCTGCATTTCTCTGAGCTCCACGGCCCAGGGACTCACTGTCTGTCAGTCTTCTACTGGCTCGCTCTTCGAGAACTTCAGAGCTACATGCAGAATGGGAAGGAGGTCTGTTAGGTGTCAGCCCAAAAGTCAAGTCAGTTTCTATTGCAGTTCTTGTCCTGACATGGGCTGGACCATTACTAGCATTTTCTGAGGCTGCTGAAGGAAAGTCTGACCTCTGTGGAGGCTGCTCAACAACATCCAGACGTATTGGCTCACTCTTCTGCTTGTGTAGATGCCCGTCAGGAGAAAGTGGATATTCCTTCCTAGTGTCTTCCTGCTTTTTAGGAGAGGTCTGACCAGGTAGGTAAGCTGACTTTAAGCCATTTGGTGATGCCTTATTGTGGCTGTACAAGTCTGGACCAAAATATCTACCATGAGAAGGGGAAGGAGTGCGTCTGCCAGGAGGAGTGGAAGGTCTGCAAGCAGCATTTGAGAAGTCATAGAGATCTGGGTATTCCTGCTGATTTTCTCTGCCGTCTGGTTTCTGCTCTAGTGTGTGTTTTTTCCGAGACGTGTGTGTATGTCTCTGTGGAATACATGAGAGATGCTGGGGAGGCCCTGGTCCTGCTTCAGAAACTGTCTGGCATAATTCTGTGTTTGCAGCAAGCTCTGGGAGCCTCCTGTCCTTGAGCGACAGTGTAGACACCCCCATGGCGATATCTGGCATCAGATCATTCAGCACAGGCTGTGGACACTGAGACAGAAACAAAGGGGCATGATCAAAAAGAAAAAAAAAATCCATATATTTCTTTCAAATCCTTTCAAGATTACAAAGTATATCATTGTATTTAGGAGTCCTAAAAATACAATTTTATATATGTGTATATATGAATGAATACTATAAAGCACGACCCTTCCCTAAAGAGGCCATGACTGTTAGCACTGTGAAGCTCTTCAGCTCTGTATCGATGACTCTGGATTACACAAAGGTTAGTGCACACTGTTCTATCACTCAGCTTCCTTTGAGATGACTTGAAATCACCATGTAACATTTTACTGTACTGTTGAGATATAATTTAATCTTTTACAGCCCCTGCACACCCACATCTCCTTTCTCTCCTCTATCCTCTGAAGGTCTATGTATCCTGGCTGTCCTGGAACTCATGTAGACCAGGCTGGCCCTGAACTCACAGAGATCTGTGCCTCTGCCTCCCAAGTGCTGGGCTTAAAGGTGTGTGCCACTATGCAGAGCCAAGGCAGATTCTCTTACTCAAGCCTAGAACTCATTGACAATGGTTAATCTGGCTAGCCATCTTAGTCTGGGGAATCCCTTTCAACTTTCTGATGCTGGAATCCCAAGTGGGCTACCACACTCTCCTGGCTTTTATGTAGGTTCTGGGGATCTAAATTTAGGTGTGGGACTAGAGAGATAGCTCAGTGATTAAAAGTACTGCCTTCTCTTCGAAAGGACCTGTGTTCACTTCCCAGAACCCACATGGTGGCTCACAACCATCTGTAATCACAGTTCTAGGGGATCCAACTTCTTCTAACTTCCATGGGCACCATGTGGTACATAGACTATGCATCTAACTCAATAACAAACACCAAAAAATTAACAATTAAAAAAGACAACCAAGGGCTGGTGAGATGGCTCAGAGGTTAAGAGCACTGACTGCTCTTCCAGAGGTCCCGAGTTCACTTCCTAGCACCCACATGGTGGCTCACAACCATCTATATAGAGGGATCTGACGCCCTCTTCAGACAGGCAGATGTATATGCAGCTGAGCAATCATATTAAATAATAATAATAATAATAAATAATAATAAATGACAACCAAACTTGGGTCTTCTTTATTGCACAAGAAAAGTTTGAACACAAAGCTATCTCCAACATTCTTGGTTTAGCTCTTTGAGAGAGGGTGACTCTGGCTGGCCTGAAGTTTGCAGCAATCCTCAGTCTTTGCTTCTTGTGTGCAGGGACTGCAGATTTCCCACTATGCCTAGCTTTTTTATTTTCATTTTCTAAAAGTCTAAGTTGAACCCATCTTTCTTCCTCAGACTCCCACAGTGCTGGGATTACAAGTGTGCACCGTCATACCTGACTCTTATCATTAGACATTTAGGTTATTCACATTTTCACTCTAGTCAGGATTGTATCAGTAAATGTATTAATAAATAACCTTTAAAGAGAATTGTACTTAAAATATAAAATAGGACTTTTAAAATTGTAAGGCTAGGCCATCAGAGAGCAGGGAAGGACGGAGGGACATAAAAGGAAGGATAATAATATGACCCCAGGTGTACACAGGCTCATCCCTTCCAATGAGGTGACTTCAGTGATGTTTCCCTGCACAGGTATACGTTCATTGTTCTCCACTGAATGCTGCTGCTACCACAGGACAGAGGATGAAGAATTAGAAGCCACTGCTGTTTTTCTCAAATGTATTACATAAAACAGAAATCCAACTTCTAGAAGGTCAAAACTCAGATGGAAACCCTCTCTCAATCACTCCCTGATGAATGAGCCGGCTGGAGGTGGAGACAGGCATGAGGACTCATTTCTGCTGGGTTTCTCAATGGGGAGCCTTTGTCACACACCGTGGTCCTAGTGGTCCTAGTGCGTAGTGCTTAGGAGAATACAAGAGAGGAGTCTACACACACGCTTGCATAGAGGATCAGGACCCGGATACACGCGCGCGTGGCATGCTCCATCACTGTGTCATCACTGTGGACATGGCAGGGCTCAGCAGGACACTGCTTGCTGCCACCTCACTCACCTGATGTCTCTCCTATCTATGCCTGCCCTCTTTTTTCAATCCCCTGAAGAGAAGCTTCCAGTTAGTCAGTAACACGTCTGGGTGCGGCTAACTCCCACCAGGATCCCTGGAGCTGAGGGAACAGCTCCCAAGGTCCTATACCTTTGTTTTTGAGAAAGTTATCTAAGTGTTGACTTACCACTTGCTTCTCAGATATTATTGCTGCTGAGGCGGCAGCAGCTGCAGCAGCAGCGGCAACCGTCTGTCTCCCCAGGCCTGTGGTGTTGGTACAATCAGGAGGTGCTACTTTAACACCTGGCAAATAGACTGGGGGAGGGCCAGGTTTAGGAGCTGTTCTGGAGTGAAACAGTGAGTGATTACAGGGGTAAGAAAATGAACGGGAAGGGTGATGACTGGGAGGCCTTTGTTTCCAGCCTGCCTTGAGCTGGTTATGGATTGGAGTAGCTGGAGGGTGGTATGGAGGGGGAGGAGGGGGCAAAGGTGGATGGAAGGCCACAAAAGAGTCCAGGTCTGTAAACATGGTTTCTGCAGTAGGGGTACTGTTGACACGACATCTCCCGGGCTGCCTCATTGTCAAGAGCGGACTTTCATCCCCAAACCGTTCATCAGGAAAGAACTTGTGAGGATTCTAAGAAAGATTATAAAAATGTAAAAGTTAGCAGTTTAGCCCAGGCTGCCCTTGAACTTAGACCTGAGGACAACCTTGATGAGGAGGAGCTTCAGCCTCTCCTGCTTCAACCTCCCAAATGCTGGAAGTACAGATAGGTGCACCATGCCTGGCTGTGCCGTGTCTTCTTTTCCCCCTGATAGCACAGGCTGGTCTCTAACTCACTATGTAGTAGAGGCTGGCCTTAAACTCCTAATCTTCCAGCCTCAGCATTCCAAGTTCTGAGATCACATGTGTGCACCATTTCATCTGGTTTTATGTTTGCACCTTTATTGGATTTTAAAAAATGGAAATCTACAGGGAGAATTAAGTCAGGTACCAAGAGACAGAGTGCAGGAGGCAGCCCACACAAAGCTGCCCCACTAACATTCTGTCAGCAGCTCAGGCATTGTTAGCAAGATCATGTGACAAAGCCAAACTCCAGTAGTAAAATGTAATTCAAATATGCCGCTGCTAAAGAAATTAAACACTGAAACCAGGGAAGGATCTTTCTAGAAAGTTTCTGATACAACATCTTTGTATGTATCTGACGCAACTACAAAACATCATTCCTTACACTTTATGCATTAGTAAATTACACTAAGATACTGATAAATGTAGAATGTTTCTGTACAATTTATAAAATTAAGATACTTTTTTTCTTTTTTTTTTTAAGATTTATTTTTTATTTCTATGAGTGCACTTCAGACACACCAGAAGAGGGCATCAGATCCCATTACAGATGGTTGTGAGCCACCATGTGGTTGCTGGGAATTGAACTCAGGATCTCTGTAAGAGCAGTCAGTGTTCTTAATTGCTGAGCCATCTCTCCAGCCCACTTTTTTTTTCTAAGAGTTTTGTTTTTGTTTTTGCTTTTTTGAGACAGAGTTTCTCTGTGTAGCTCTGGCTATTGTGAACTTACTTTGTAGTTTCACAGACGGGCCTTGAAAAGAGATCCGCCTGGCTCTGCTTTCCAAGTGTGTGCCGCCACCACCTGAAGCTTTTTTTAAAGACAGGGTCTCACTATATAGCTCTCACTGGCCTGGAACTCCCAATGTAGGCTAGGCTGGCCTTCAGCTCAGAGATCTGCCCACTAGAATTCAAATATGTGACCCCACACCCAGACAGAAAATACAATTTAAAATGGCAAAGGGAAAAGGAATGACCATAAGAAGGATGATGCTAATGGACAGGCTAATAACAGTGAAGGGAGAAAATCACAAGGCCATTGCCACAAAGAACTACAGGCAACTAAGGAATGCTGAGACTGGGAGAAAGAGTCTTCCCCAGGGAAGAGCACACCAAGTGGTTATCCAACACCAAATGGTCAGTCCTGGAAGCATATATACAAGCAACACTATACACACTGAGCAGGTTGTATTTAAAAAGTTAGGATCGATCTCTCTCTCTCTCTCTCTCTCTCTCTCTCTCTCTCTCTCTCTCTCT